ATTTAAAATTATATAGAAAAAGAATAAGAGAGAAAAAAAAGATGCTGCCAGACGACAGCAGCGGACCTTACGGTTTTCACTGCAGGACAGTGATGTTTACTTTTCCAGCAATCAGCTTGCGAAACACATGGAGTGATACTTGTGGTTCAACAATAGTAGGCATCCTGGTGATAATACAATCAATCTACTCGTCGTGATTTCCTCGCGGTTTGTGCTTCTGATATGTTCTTTGATCCCCAGCGTGACTGCAATCTTCGGACTGCTTCAGTGAATCTTCTACCCCAATCTGTGTAAATCGCTGATCGATTTATGTCTTCTCGGTAGGTTTAGGGCATATGCTCATGCTAGGGCTTTTCCGACGCAGCTTTGGAAGCGGTTTGCTGTCAGATGCATTCTGGTTTGACTTTTTTTTTTCTTTCCCTTCTTTTTGTACTTAAAAAGGGCGACGGCCTTGATATATCAACATCGAGTTGCCCGACCTGAGGTATTCCTTCATTGCGTTCATCTAGGTCCATCAGGATTCGAACTTGGGTCTGTTATTAAGCAGTTCATGGGTGTACCAACTGAGCTTGGGGTCAGATACATTCAGGAAAAGTGCTGCCGTCTTCCCCCGAACATAACGCACCCTTAAAATGAACGTATACAAGTCAGATTTCCGGTCAGAAACAGCCAAAACGAGGGTGCGTTGTGTTCGGGGGAAGACGGTAGTGGGAGCAGCATATGCCGTCCCCTGCGGTAGCCGTCCTGTGATCGTTCAAGCAGTTCATATAGCACTGCTGTGTTGAAATTGGAGCGACACAGAGAAGAGTAGCATGGTCCTTGCACAAGGATGACACGCGTAAATCGAGAAATGGCCCATTTAAAAAACAAGCCCCTCCATGGCGAGCCTGCCAGCCATGGAGATCAGCCGAAGTGAAGCCAGGCTGCGGCCGAGAGGCGGCACATCAGCGTTTCGGGGTCAGAAGGGGCAGTTTGTTGTGCAGAGAGAGCAGGGCTGTGTGAGTGTGAGCATGCCCAACTGTGTGAGCGTGAGCATGTCCTACGAAACGACCGAGTGTCAGCACGCCGTAAGAAAAGACTACGTGTGAGCATGCCGTTAGAAACGACCATGTGCGAGCATGCCCAAAGAGAGGACTGTGTCGGCATGCCCTAAGAGACGACCAGACTACAGCGTCCCAAAATAAGCAAAAGAGTCCCATGTATTTGAACATCCCAGGTGCGTTGGTTGGCTACACAGCCGACCCCCTTGCTCCCCTGCTAACTCCCCTCCCCCCACCCCGCCCAAAAGAGACTGGAAAAACAGACGCCAAAAACAGCAGCTCCAACAGGCAGAACTCCGTCTGCTGAAGGTGTTTCGAACTGTCGTGTGTCTCCCTGCAATGCAGAGACGGGCTTGCTGTGTACTTCCATTGGAACATGTGCCCGACTATGGGCCTCGATATGCTACTCCCCCCGTGTTCAAAAAACAAAAAATATGTTGGTGTATCTTCCTATGTTCGAGCAGGAGATTCATTTTCATTTCGTACATTTCATGAGTATGGGCCTCGCCACACCACTCTGGAAATGTGAAAAAGACAAAAATGTGGCGGGTGCATCTGGCCATGTTCTAGCGGGAAGTTCATTCTCATTTTGCACATTTCGAGAGTGGTGTGGCGATGCCCTATATGTGGGTGTATCTTCCTCCGTTGAAGCGGAAGATGCATTGTCATTTTATACATTTCGCGAGTAGTGGAGCGCCTGAGAGAACAAACAGTGCAAAGGAGCAATTCATTTGGACTCGATTACCGCTGGCATGTTTTGCTCAGTGGGGAAGTTCCACTCTATTGAATATACAAGGAATTGAACGTAATATTTTACTCATGTTAAGTCATGGACAGGTTTCTTCAGCCCTTTTTTTTTATGTGTAGGTGCTTTATACAATCGACATAAAACCCGACTCAGTTGGTTGAGCAGGTAAGTGGTTTTCAGGAGGTCGTGGGTTCGATTTCCCAAGTCGTCCATTCGATGCCCCACAGCCCCCTGTGATGCGCTTCGGGTTCACCAGCGGAGATATTTGGCTTGGGCCTCCTGGCTGGTTGTGGAAGTTGGTTAGGCTTTGCAGCTCATGCCAGGTTTTATGAGCTGGGGTACTGCTCCCCGCATAGAGCAGAGTAAGCTGGGAAGTCTGGGAAATCGACCCATAAGGTTGAGCATCCTGTGGAGAAAACTGGACATACATGTAGGTAGGTAGGTAGAGTGAGGTATACGAGTGAAGAATATTGATCAGTTTTTGGAAAAAAAAAAAAAGGAGGCTGGGATCCACTAGGGAGAATGTCGGGAGGCCGGGAATCAAACCCAGAACCCTTAGCGTCCCATGCTGAGAAGGTGTATGCATGTGAGGAAAAATTGAGAGAAAAAATATATAGCCGTCCCCCGATGAGGAGACGACAGCTTAAAAAAAAAAGACAAAACAGGCTGCAAGCCGAGAACGGTGGGATGCATTGTATAGCACAGCGATGCATCACTGTGCAGTCCTAACTGAAAAGGTACATACCCAAATTGTTGGCTTCGTACCGAGTTGTGGGCTCGATAGAAGCAGAAACGCACACCTAATCGACTTGCGTTACAAAGCCTAATTGGCTTTTTCACAGTGTGTGCTCAAAATTTGTTCGTTCTTTTTAAACTGGCAGTCTTGAGATGCGTATCCACAGGTGAATGTGCTCACAATGGGTTCATAGTGGGCTCCAGACACAAAAAATGGTATTTATCTCAGTGTAGGATTTGCCTAGCTGTGGGACGTACATTAACAATGTAGAGAATGTTAGCATGGCTCCTGCGGAAGGATGACCCCCATAAATCAAGAAATGGTCCAAATGTTTAGTCAAGAGACAAGGAGCTTTTGGCTAAGATCAAGTGTAGTATCTGTTCTGATCAGTTTAATATCTGATCTGTGGTCCATCGGGCCA